GAGGGGAGCCAGATATCAATAGTTCATGCCTGTAATCCCAGCCCTTGGGAAAGGGTAGGAGAGGAAGAAGAATTCAAGGTCAGCCAGCTCGAATTCCATGAGACCCTGTCTCAAAAGAAAAAAAAAAAGAAGAGATAAATATCATTTCAAATGAACGGCACAGAAGTGAAGGAGAGACGTCCATGTCAGCCCAAGCGTTAACAATCGCGATCCTGCTTTGCCCTGTTCACCTTGACTCACCACAGGTCTCAAACAAATCGAAACACGCATGCGTACAGCTAGAGCCACAACCGGCCCCTGGCGGCCACTTTGGGGTTGCGCTTGCGGCGCCGAGCGGTCGCCATGGAGACGCGTGGCCGGGCCGGCAGTGAGCGCCTGGAGCCCGCCCGGCGCGGGTCCTCGGCTGTTCCTGGCGCAGGTTGCGGTCCCGCAGGCGGATGGCCGGCCGCGGTGGGACCGGGGCGGCGGACTATGGCGAGGAGGGCGAGGACGAGGAGGAGGAGGAGGCGCGGGAAGGAGGCGCTGAGGGCTCCCCGGGGTCCAAGCTGCCCCCCATCGTGGGCACTGCCTCCGAGCTGGCCAAACGGAAAGTGAAGAAGAAAAAGAAGAAGAAAAAGACCAAAGGTTCGGGCAAGGGCGACGGTAAGAGGAGCAGCTAGCGAGGCCGCCTTGGCTCTTGGACCTGAGATTCCTCTCCCAGATGCCCCTCTACCTGGAAGTCACCTCAGGCCGAAAACAGACACCACACCCTGACAGTCCCCTAGACCCTACACAGGACACTTTTGGGCAGCCCACAGATGCCCAGCCCTACCCATAAAGATCACGTGCTCATCACCACAGAGACCCCTTAATTACCAAGGAAGTCTCTACCAGCTTTAGTCCCAATATATCCAAAGACCCCACACCCTCCTCTGAGAGCCCTCAAGATCTAAGGATCCTCCACCCCACACAGAGACCCCCCCACAGATACCCACCCCAAGAGCCTCCAGCCTGATCTTCCTATACCCACCTCCTTTCCACTTCATAGCCCCTTAGGCAAACACACCCTTCCAAACAGACTTCTCAAGGTTTGGAGTCATAAAGAGACTAGCCCAGATGGGAAGATACTAGCCGATAGTCACTCCCACAGGGAACTGACAGACGCCAGGCTCCCCTCTAGTAGGAATCGCCCCCATGTAAATAAATGAACAGATTCTTCCCTGAATGGACTCTGCCTAGGGACAGCTGTGTCCTGCATATACTCACAGAAGTTCCCTCCTGTTATCACCCACACTTTTTTTTTTTTTTTTTTTTTTTTTTGGAGACAGGGTTTCCCTTTGTAGCCTGGGCTGTCCTGAAACTCACTCTGTAGACCAGGCTGGGCTTGAACTCAGAGATCCACCTGCCTCTGCCTCCTGAGTGCTGGGATTAAAGGCTGGAGTTACCACCACGTGGATCACTGACTGTTTACATTGCCTTCCCATAAGCAATATGACACTATCCAACAAACCTAAAGTATGGTGGCTCCATCATGCATCACATACAGTCTACACACATGTGGATTCCATTAGGCACTTACATAGATGCACAGATACCAACACAAACTTCACACCTAGATACTAGACACTCACATACACAGATATACCAGTATCTCATACCTACACAGGCACTCTAGAAACTCACATGCATAGATACCCCCCAAACATTATACCCACACAGGAATTCTAGGCACTTACATTCTTAGAAGTGACCAAACATCACACCCACCGCAGGTACTCTAGTCTCACTCACCAAGACCTTCACCTGCGTACACATACACCAGCACCTTCCAGGAACCCAGAGTCCCTGCCTCTCCCTCCGTTCCATCACAGAACACCCAGATATCCCCGCAGAGACAGTGCCCGCCCACTCTGAGGAAGACGGCAGCTGTGAAACAGAATGACCCTGCTTGGGAGTGGTGTGACTCTGGTGTCACCCATGTGGCTCTGGCTCTGACTCAGGCGTGGCTAGTCCTGGGCTCAGGTGCTGGGCCTCGGCTGGCTGCCCGTGCAGAGTGGGAAGTGGAAGGAGCGGCTTCCCCAAGTGTGGTGGTTTGGGGAAAAAGCAATGGAGGCTTGTAACGATTCTTTCAGGCAGAATGGAGCTAAAGGGAGGGTAAGGCAACGAGCGGTCTGTGTGGCAGCCAAACACGGCGTTGGTTTTCTTTTTGGTGCAACTTTTGACTGTAGGAATTACAGTGTTGCGTACCTCAGACTGTCAGCAGGGGACACCAGGTAGTTTTCAGAGAATAGGAAGGTAAGGAAATGTCAAGACTGAATGTCACTTTATTATTATTATTATTATTATTATTATTATTATTATTATTATTATTATTATTGCCTTTATCCTTACCCAGCTTGCCTTTCTGGAGGAGGAGATATTTATACAATAGAACGGAAAGAGGAGCTGATGAGAGAGACTCACCATTTATAGCATTTTACAAGCAATTCTGTAGTGCTTTTAAAGTGAGAAGAGAAAAGAGGAAATAGGGAGCTTGAAGCCAGCCTGGGGATATGTAAGACTCCATCTCAAAAGAAAAAAAGAATCCAGGTGGTGGTGCACTCCTTTAATCCCAACACTCAAGAGGCAGAGGCAGGCAGATCTCTGTGAGTTTGAGGCCAGCCTGGTCTGCAAAGCAAGTTCCAAGGACAGCTAGAACTGTTAACACAGAGAAACCTGTCTCAGAAAAAAAAAAAGGAAAGAAGAGAGAGAGAGAGAGAGACGGCTTGACCATTAAGAATACTTGTTCTTGCAGAGGACCCAGGTTCAATTCCCAGCACCCACATGGTGGTTCACAACCATCTGTAACTCCAGTTCTAGGGGATCGAATGCCCTCTTCTGACCTACTTGGGCACCAGGAATGTACATGGTACACAGACAATGTTTAAGCAACACACTTACATATATAAAATAAGTACATCTTTAAAATTTTAAAGAAAAGAAAGAGCATTTCCTGGTTCAGTATACTACTAATTACATCATTTGTAATTTCCTCTCTGTCTAGATGGGTGTAGAGTCATAGACCCAGGAGCATGTAGTGAGGTTAAGTGGAGCAGATACCGTAGGAAGAACAGGACACTGGGAGTCAGGGGGCCTTCAGATCTGGCTTCTCCATTTGTTGCTTGGCCCTGATGGTTAATGAAGCTTTAGGATCTCTTGGTATTCAGGTTGGGGTGTAGCTTTGTGGCAGAGCTTATGTTTAGCATGCACAAGGCATGGGTGCACCCACAAAAAGAAAAAGGTGCCTCTTGCCCCCAAATACCTTGACTGAAAGCATTCAGGCAGTGGGTGAGGTCCCAGGTTCCTGCCATCTGAACCCCGGCTAAAGGCAGACCCCGTCCCTTACATCGCTGGTTTATTGGGCATTCATTCTAGAAGGCACAAATATTTGTCTCTTCACCTCTTCAGCAGACAAACATCACAGTCGAGGCCGGAAGAATCAGCCGCTCTCTTCATCTTTCCACGACATCTTAAATCCCCACAAAGACCATGGCCCGAGGGCAGAGCCCAGAGACAAAGAAGAAACTAGGCACAGCCTTCCCTATTCCTGCGGCATGAGCCACCCCTACTTTGCCGAAATAGAAGAGAGCCTTTCCAACCAGATCAACGAGAGTCTGCGTTGGGATGGGATTCTGACCGACCCTGAGGCAGAAAAGGAGAGGATCCGCATCTACAAGCTGAACCGGAGGAAGCGGTACCGGCTAGTGGCCCTCAAGGGCTTCCACTCGGATCCCTGCACGGAGGAGAGCTTGGAGAACCTGCCCTACCTCTCCGATAAAGACTGCGGCCCCAGCAGCAAGCAGCCCAGCTCCAAGGGCGACCACGCGCATAGCTACTTTGAGGCCGCAAAGCTCCTGCACCCCGAATTAGCCACCACTGCGACAGAGTGACATCTGTCCGCCCTGCTGCCAAGCTCCTCCTTGCCACACGTTTTTATGTTTAAAAAGAATCATAATAAAAAGAAATCAGACCAGAACCGAGGGAAACCGATGCTTGTGGTGTGGGGTTGGTGCCTTCCTTTTTAAGAATGGTACCCCTGGAACTGGAGAGAGAGATGGTTCAGCAGTTAAGAGTGTGTGTACTGCTTTTCCAGAGAACCTGAGTTCTATTCCCAGCACCTGCATCAGGCTTCACACACACACACACACACACACACACACACACACACACACACACGGTTAAAATGGTAAAAATGTTAATTTAAAAGGACAGCATTCTTTTTGTGAGCACAGTGCTGTGCCTATCAGAATTTCCTTTTTCTTAAGTAAGCTGTCATCTCAGTAATTCAATTTCTTAACACAGTTTGATGTTTGTAAATTGCCTGTAAACAAAACAGAGTATGTGTAGGCTGCCTGTATTCTGAACCTTAAGCTGACTTCCTGAAAAGAACTCATATCGAGTGGGTATTCAGAGGGGAATGCAGCCCAGTTTGGCGGTAAACTCCTGATTCTCCTGCCTCCACCTCCCAAGTGCTGGGATTACAGGTGTGCGGCTCCACTCCCAGCTGGAGACCTTATTCTTCTAATTAAATACACTACTTGCTCTTATGTGTTGTTTAAAATCTGGCTCCTAGGGGCTGGGTCTTCCAGAGGACCCAGGTTCAATCCCCAGCGCCCACACTGATCCTCACAACCATCTGTAACTCTAGTTTCAAGGGATCTAATGCCCTTTTCTGGTCTGCACGGATATCAGACATGTACATGGTGCACATACATACATGCAGGCAAAACATACACACATAAAATAATAAACAGATAAATCTCAAAAGAAAAGGAGAGGGCTGGAGAGATGGCTCAGTGGTTAAGAACACTTGTTCTTCCAGAGGACCTAGGCTTGATTCCCAGCACCCA